GCCTCCGAGGCAGAGGTGGGAGCCACCGCTTCCAGCGCCCTGTCTGCCCGAGCCCGGTTCCAACACCTCCGGCGGGAGCGCGGGTGCTCGCATCCAGTCTGCGGCCCGGAGCTCTGCGGAGCGCAGCGCGCACCGAGCCAGAGATGCCGGGAGACGAGGCTCCGCTGTCCGGCGGTGAGACTAACCAAGGACGGCGTTGTGCTGCTCCTCGGCAGAGAGGGGAAACGCTGACGGCCACCACTGAAGAGACCCAACCCTTCGGTGCGCCTTGGGTTAGCCTTCGGAGACCGGCAGCTATGGGGAAATGGATAGCACAAGCCATGCCGGCGATGGGGGCCGAAAGGCTGGACTTGAATAAGGGAAGCGCAAGTAAGAGAGTATTTAGATGAACGGGAATTCTTCAGACCACCTGGGAGTGCTGGACTTCAGGCAAAGCAATCCCAGAAACAGCTGCTGTTATCTGTGAGGACTTGCTGGGGGACAGTCAGGCATGGAAAGACTGTAAAATGCAAGCTTTGTACCCTCCCTTCAAAATGGGAACTGGGATCAAAAGCCAGGAACTGCTGACAGTTAAATCCCTTCACTCACCCACCGCCCAAAAAACGCTGAAACAAGTGATCTCACTACTTGTAAGCAGTGGAGATGAGCAGGAGCCATATGGACCTGTCAGGAACAGAATCTGGTCAAAATAATCTGATTTTACACTGTGAAAGGGTAAGGGCATGGTGAAGAGGATCCCTGGCTGTCATTTGAGTGGCTCTTAAGGATGATGTAGATGAGATGTTGGGTAGGTACAAAATCCATTGGATAATTATACCTAGAGAGTTATCTATGGTTCAGTGTTGAAAAAGAAGGGGTCTGTTGAGTGAAGTTCAGAGACATCTGTTGCAGGTCTGGTTTTGTTCAGCATTTCCATTAATGATCTGGTTGATGGAGAAGAATGTGCACTTGCTAAATCTGCAGATTGGGAAGTATCCAGTGACAACGTTACTTGTCTAACAGGTCTGTAGAATAAGCAGGACCCTGCTGAAAACCGTCTGCTTGGGTTGCAGTACCAGTTAGGGATGAGGTACTGAAGACTTGTGAGAGAGCAGGACTGGAGAACGTCTATAGGACACCTGTCGTGTTTGTGCTGGACCGCAGACCGTGCTGTCCTGGCCCTGTGGGGAGGGAGCTGAATGTGGGAGGCTGTACTGGCTTAGCTGCATCAGGAAGGCAGGTGGCATTTGGAAAGCAGGGGATCTCTCCCAGAGCTCTCTGCTGCCAACTTGCTCACTTGGTTATTTACTGTTGGCCATCTCTGATGTCTGCAGTTTTTAAGGTTTTCCCGAGGTTGTGTCAGTTATTTGGTGCCATTGTACAAGGTGCTCTCAGCTCAGAGCTGGTGCGTGGTTTGCCATCTTGTCTGGCTCCTACATGGTGTAATACCTCTGACTGCCGAAACAGACCCGTACAGGATTGGGAAGGAGAAACCTGAACCGACTACCTAGCCTGCAGAACCACTGGCCACACACTTGCATGCACCAGTTACCTGGTGTGGGCACTGACTGAATCTGTCCTGCTCAGTAATCGGATTGGTCTGGTTTAACGTTAATTGAAGTGACTGCATGGAAAACCTCAGGCTGGAAAATCAGTACCTAAACTAGGTCTTGACTTTTCCCCACTGGCTCCCACAGGAGATCATGAGAACCGTGCACTGGAGTTGTCCTCCTGCTCTGTATATCTGAGCATATCTTCCACTGTCTGACTCCTGCAAAAGTCAGCAGCAGCCAGCCTTGTACACCCCCACCCCAACTGAACCTCATCTTCTCTGTGGGACAAGTAGAGGATCTTCACAAGTATCATGTCCATATGGAGAACAACCAGAGCTGCACAGAAACTGCTCAAGGCAAAGCACAGCTACCAGAGCAGATGAAAAGGAAAGGAGAACCTCACATTGCTCTTGGCTTTAGCTGGGGAGAAGAGAAGGGAGAACTTACTTTCCCACCATCAACACATCACCCAGATGAAGAGGAAGCTGGGTCTCCCTTCAATTTCTTCTCCAGACAAAGCTGCATTGTTACCAGATGCTTGTTCTGGTTTTGCCATGTTCCCACCTGTGCTTGAGAACATCACGGGGTGGAGGGGCAGGGTGTGAGGGAAGAGTGCAGGGGAGCACTGCACTCTTTTTACACTGCACCTGGTCTTTTTGCAGACCAGGTGTGTAAAAAGCTCAGCTCCTTCATCATGAAGTAGGAGAGGATGGTAGCACCACCTGACTTGGGTTATGAGGGAGAGGAGTTAGACTCAGCTGTGAGTCAGGTTCAGTGGAGGGGAGGATATTAGAATAAAGCCCAAAATGCTCTTTCTTCCCTTAGGGGCAAGAGTCGTGGCAGAGAAGGGAGTTAAGCACGATGGCGGCAAGATCAGGCATGTGTTTGGTGGGAAGGCTGCTGGATGGAGGCTCTAGTACAGAACAGAGACTAACCGCTGCAGCACTGGCACCCAGCGGCAAGGTAGGATCCAGGTTACAATGAATGGCCTTGCCTTGGATGTGCTAAGTCTGTGTTTTAGACGTTTATGCTTGATTTTGAATTTGTGTTGCAGACAGGGTTGTGCTTCCACTGGGAGCTGTTTTGGTGCAGGGTAACTTGGCTCTGTCATTTTGGATTAGCTCAGAGCAAAGAATAATTTGGTTACAGTGAAGTTGTGCTGACATCTGGGATGGCTTTCAGCATCTGATCACCAATACCTTCTGCAGCAGCTGCCTCCTTTGGAATAGGCTTTGACAAAGACCGAGTGGTTCACATGCTTCTCTTGCGAGGGACTTCTTACTCTGTCCTAGTGAGGGTCCCTTCTTAGCCAAGAACTTGCTTCCTCTCTGCATGCTAATGGCATTGCACAAGCCAGCGTTATGCTAGGTTTGCCCGTCCCATTCATCCAAGTAAGATAGCTTGTTGTGGTGATATGTTTGGGGTTGGTTGTTTGCTGGGTTTGGGGTTTTTTCCTAAGAGAGAAGGGAAATACTGGGGTTGTGGTTTCCCCTTGGAGCATGTGCTCGATGAATGGAAAGGAAGCTGCACTGGGTAGGGATGTCCTGCTCCCCTGCTGCACCTGGAGCTTCCTTGGGCCGTTGGAGGAACCCACTGCATCCCTCTGCCTTGGCTGAAGCAGCAGGTCCCCCGGGTGCATGTACATCCCAGGAGAGCCACCTCTGTTTTACAGCTTTCCCAACAGAAACTGTGCAGGGGCAGGCTAGCAGGGCAGGTTTCTGCAGCCGGCATCTCCCCTGGGGAACTGCTGTTTGGAGTGGGAGTGTCTGGAAAGGCTCCCCTGCCTGAGGCTGCCGGGAGCCCAAAGACACTGGTCCCATCCAGCACAGCAGGGAAGCCTGAACCAGGAGAAGCTCAACTCTCCTGCCTCAATGAGTGCATGCAGACAGGGAGCAGGCTTATTTTCCCCTTCATACTGTGCCCGTGGGCTTTTGCTGTCCTGAGGAGCCAGGTGTTCATTTTGTAAGTGAGGAACAGAGATGGGTCCTCCAAACCTCAGGCCCCTGATCGGACTCAGGGTGCCTCATGCTGGTGCTCCCAAGGACGCTTGCTCTCAGCTGGGCTGCGAGCGCTTGATTTCTGATCCTTCAAACACAGGTTCGTGCTCTCAATAACCAGACAGGCAGAAGCCTTAAAGTTATTGTGCCAACTTTCACTTTATTATCTTTTTTTGGAAATGGGATTTGGAGAAGGGAAGGGAAGGAGATGTGCAAGGGGGAGCTGATTGTTGCAGAAGGGATGCTTTGGATGTACACTGGCATAGGTGTTCCTGTCTGACTGGAAATGACTGAAGCAGTAAAGCACGACAGGCAGGACACTGCCTTGGTGGCTGTGCTTGCTTTACAGGGGTTTTGGTTTTAAGGTCTTTGTAGGTTATTTCATGTACAAAACACAAAAGCATATTTTAATGTCTATATATGTATTTGTATATATAAAAGATATATATACACACACATATTTCTTATCCTTACAACTTCCAGTTCCTAAAGGCTTCAGGTCTGAAGGGCCATGTGTATATATGTATTATAAAGAGAGATGCCAATCAACCGAGACAAGGCTTTCCTTACTGGATGTGTGATAAATAAGTGGGCAAGACATCTTTAACTGAAATCTTGCACAGAGGCAGGGAGAAGGGGTCAGCCAAGCACAGAATGGCAGCCCCCACATTGCCCTGTCCCTGTCTGTTCCCTGCACGCCTGGTGTCTGGCTGCCCGTGCTGTCCCAGGGATTTGGGGAGCTCACCCCTGTGGGGCTTGGAGGGGCAGATTGAAACACACTTGGTTCCGCTGCCTGTAGGTAAGGCACCCCACACACTGGGGCTACTATTTCCCCATGGAGCTTCCAGTAGACTGTTTTGGTTTCTTTACCACAAGGGAGGAGGTTTGGTGGGCAAGAGAGGAAGGGGTTTGGGAAAAGAGACAGTCAAAAATCACCATACGATAGACAAATCTTCATGGAGGTCCATCTGCCTGCTCGCCGCTCACGTGCTCGCTCTTTCTCTCACTCTCTTGCTTTCGTGTTCACTCTCATTCTCTGCAGGACGTACGCTGTTGTAGGGCTAAAGGTCTCCTTTTGTCAGGCTAAGGTCAAGTCCCTGGTTGGCGGATGGCAGCCCTTCATACGGGCCTGTCCACGGCGTATTGGCAAGGGCTCAGATTGGAAGCCGCCGTCTGCACCGTCGGGTAGGTGAAGTTAGCGTGCTGCTTGGCCTTCAGCCGCAGGCTAGCCAGGCTGGAGTTGCATGTGTCCCTGTACATGTAGGGGCTGGCTGTTGAGGCGTAAGGACAGGCACTGGATGAGACAGCAGAGTTGAGGCTTGGGCTATTCAGGTTGTTGATGTTTCCCAGGTTGTTGAGGCTGGAGGCCGGTACTGCGGTCACCGCAGAAGGGACCATGGATGAAGGCATGGTCATAGAGGCGATGGAGCTGGGTGGGGAGAACATGGGCTGGGAGGAGAGAGGGCTGACGTTCATGGAGTTGAAGAATGGGAAGCTCTTGGCTGAGAGCGGGCTGGTGGCGAGCCCCTTGGTGGCCCAGTTGTTGTAGGAATAGCTGGAATACATGTCATCGTAAGGCTGCATCAGTCCGTTGAACTGGGCTCCGAAACTGTTCTTGCACAGTTCAGCCTGTTGGTTCCTCTCCCGTTTCCTCCATTTAGCTCTGCGGTTTTTGAACCAGACCTGTGAGAGAAAGAGAGGAAGGGGATGGGAATCGCTCTGGGCTGTCCCTGGAAAGGGCCTTGCCCCGGTCTCTTTGCCCAGCAATGCGAGGGCTGTTGAAGGGCCAGAGGTGCTCCCAGGAAGCTGGGAGGCTGAGCATCAGGAAGGGGTTGCAGCAAGATGTCTGGGCTGCAGGGCCATCTCCCAGCAAGAATCACCACCTAGGTCAAAACCCAACCACTGCCATTGTACAACACACAGAATAACCCAACTCACTTGACAAATAGATGCCTTTTATATGGGGGAAAAGGGAAGAAAATACTTGCTGTATTTTCAAGTGAGCACAGCCCAGGAGGAGGGGTTGGGGTTTTGTGACTTTGGAACAAAGTATTTGGGGGATGTGGTTTGAGAGCTGTTGAGCGGAGGAAATAACCTCTCTTGTTTTGACTTCACCTCAGGACCAGCTTGGGGTGGGGTGTTAGAAGTCTGTCTTCTAACAGGAAAATCTGTTGGTATTGGAGGGACTCAAACAATATCACTTCCTAGAGCGTGGAAGCTGCTGGAAGGCTATTCATGGTGCTGCTAACTCATATTTCTAGTAGCAGAGAGAAGCTCTCATTCCAGCTGGAGCCCTGCCACGCTACGCCTGTGACTGCACAATGGTTTGGGAACCCCAAACAGTGCCCTCCAGCCAGGCTAAGGCTGGGGGATGATGGCAGTGCAAGGAAGGGCTCTGCTGGGGCAGGGCAGCCAGCTGGCAGGGCTCTGCGGGGCAGAGCATGGGCTCTGCACCTCCCTGTGTTATTGCGAGGTGGCGCTGGATGGAGAAGATGCCACAAGCATGGGGTATGTGTGTGGCTGGTTGTGTCAGATCTCGGGTATAGAGCTCGGTGAGGTGTTTTCAAGAGAGTGCCCCTAATTCCCTCCTTGGTTTGGGGACAGCTTGGTGGCTTGCATCACAGCTGGCTTCTTCCCCACAAGCTCAGACCCAGGAAGATGGGAGAGCTGCAGTCCTACCCGGACTCGTGCCTCCGTCAGGTTGGTCCAAACTGCAATCTCCTCCCTGGTGCTCATGTCTGGGTAACGGTTCCTCTGGAAAGTGGCTTCCAGCTCCTGGAGCTGCTGGCTGGTGAAATGCGTCCTCTGCCTCCGCTGCTTCTTCTTGAGCGAGCCGTCTTCAGGGTTGGAGTCGTCCGTCTGGTTTTGCTGGGACTTCTCGGTGTCTGTGCGAGAAACAGAAAGATGGAAGAGATCCCCTGAGTTAACTTGGGGGGCTTGGATGCATCTGGGGAGCCAGTCCTTGGGGCAACCAGTGCACAGTCAGTGAGGTCCCCCTCCGCTGCAGCTAGCAGCAGCTCCAGCTGCACCTACAGGAGTGGTCCCATCTCACTCCCTTGCCCTTGAAAGCAGGCATCCACCCTGCACCCAAACCAACAGCCCCTTGATGCAGCATGGCTTGACCTCATTTAACTGCAGAGTGGATATCAGCTTCCAAGTGACTGCATTTGGATGCTCCAAACTTCCAATCTCTGGTTTTCATTTGTCACAGTTAAGATGGGTGACAGTGGCAGAACTTACCCAGGCCAGCTGTTTCCTACTCTGCTTAAAAACTCTCTGCCTAAGGCACCCATTAGAAAAACTGAAGGGAAATTGCCACTTATGACACAGCTAAAGATCCAGTAGCGGTTTGGTGGACAAGTGATAGGAAAAGGCAAATTGCCAATGATAGAAAGTTGAGGCTCTTAAATTTAACTAAACCTGAGGAGCACAGATTTTTATCCTTCCTCCCTTCTTACTCCTCTACCCTTTTACTTAGGTGCATGTATTTTTATTTTTAAAAAGCAGGGAAAGTCCTTTTTTAGACCTTATTATGAAGTATTCCAGTATCACCATGTCCTTCCGCCCCTGCCCTCGTTCTCACTCGGAGAACCCACTCCTAGAGGCAGCATCTTTCATTTCACTGCCCCTTAAATGAACATCTTGAACCTCTTCAGTGATCACACTGGTATCTAACTGAAAAGTATAGCTCAGCCTCCTCCTAGGCATTAAGCCCAGGCCTTGACACTGAGCTTTGGGCTGCCACAGCTGGAGACGGGCAGCCAGGTACTTCCCTGTGCCACAGCCCCTCCTGGGGCTGTTGGTACTATGCAAATAGGGTCAGAGTGTAAATAAAAATATCTTCCATCACCAAAAGAAAATGTCACGTTTGAGCACTTGGGCAATCTGTGGAGGACTACTGGGAGGAAAGCTACAGTTCATGTTTAATTCTGCTGGGAACAAAGACAAGTCACCTGAGAAGAAAATTATTCCAGTGAAAATAAATTATTTCTGATGTTCACCTCCTACTTCCTCTGATCTAGAAGCAAGGTGAAGCAGTTCCAACTGCAAATCAGGTTTTCAGCAGGGAGAGGAAGTGTTCTTTTACAGTGGGAAATAGCTAAACAAAGTAAAAATTACTGCAAACAGTTTGCCAAACTGTTGCATCTGGGAGAGGAACCTTTAAAAAGTCCTGGCATCACTCTGCTGAGATTCAGATTAAAGGGATTTTTCGTTTGGTCGCAGTTTTTTTTTTAAGTGGAAGCTAGCTTAAAAGGCTTCAAAGTCCAGAAAAATCCTAACATGGAAGGTGTCTTGTACAACCCCTTAAAAAGCAGAGGCAAGAAAACAGTAACCTGGAGTACAGCTGGGTGAGGAAAAAAACAGGGTTCCTCAGGTCAGATGGACATGCTCTGGAAAAATATGCCACACAACAGCTAAATAGAAAAGCGAGAGGCTGAAAAGCATCTGAGTCCTGACAAAGGGCTCTGGCGCTTTCATGGAGCCTGGCCCTGGGAGACACTCCTGTCCCAGGAACCTGGTGCCACTACCCTGTTCCGTGGCAGCGTGTTAATTCAGAAACCTCTCCCTGCTGTTCCTGGGAAAACCGTCCTTGCACTGCCTCCCTCCAAACGGAGTAATGCTGGAGTCAGAGAGCATCTGCAGGAGCATCTCCGCTCTTCGTGGAGGAAAGCCTGGGCGTGGTCAGAAAAGGTTTGATTCTGTGGGTATGTGTTTCACCGATGGAGGTAACGTGGGTTCCCCACAGGCTCCCTCCGCTTTTCTGTGGCACGTTTAATGCTATCCACCAGCAGGAAAGCTAACGCAAGGAGAGCGAGCTGGCCATTGCTCACAACAACAGGGCGCAAGCTGCTTCTGCTGAGCAGGAAGATGCTGTGTCCTGTTCCCGGTGCCAGGACCAGCTCATGTTTCCATCCAGGGCATACTCACACAAGAACTTTCCCAGTGCACTCTTGAAACAGATGAAGCCATAGGACTGGAAAAGTGGAACAGTAGGAGCTGGCTGTGGTCTCGTGGTATTCTCCTCATTCCCATGATGAGCATCTTCAGGTGGGGATCCCACGTTCAGCAGAACCCTTGGAAGAATGCTCTTAATGTGGATCTTTTTACAGTGATTCTTGCCAAGGAGGTAAATCTGATTTCTCTAGCTCAGTGCTCCAAGCCAGTATTGGAAGTGGGAGATTCCTGCATTTATCCCTCTCTAAAACAGGTTAAAAGAGGAGTGATGCCACCATGTCCGAGCTAGTTATTAGGAATGGCTCAGTACAGATGAAGAGACAACATCTGGTTTGTTTGTCCGTCTGCTAAGTCTGGGTTAATTGGGAGCCTGATGTGTACAGAGGCTATGTTCCCACTGGAGCCGCTGACAAATGCGGATTTGCGAAGGGGCTGCTGCGAAGCAGGAGGCTGTGCCCTAATCAGGAGCTCCCGCTCAAGACTGCCCTTCTTCACTCAGGAACTATACCGATAGGGAAGGAGAATGGAGCGAAGGGTACCACTGGCTTCCAGGCTGCACGTGGGGGGACGAGCTCACCAAGTATCTTGCTTTTGTATTCATCTACTCCATACCTTCTAGTGCAGAACTTTCCATAAGTCTTGTGAAGTCCAAGGAGATGTAGGAATCTTGACTTTGAGCCCAGAAAAATCTCTGCAGCTGGACGTTCCTCGTATTTTCCTCTCTGTTTCTGTACCTGCTAACTGTGGCTCTTCCTGAGCATGGCTTATAGTGAGTGTCATCCCTGTTTCTGCTTCTTCCCCAGGCAGGGGAAAAGTGGCCTCTATAAATGGTGCAGAGCTTGGGTGTTGCAGCGGGGACAAAAAGCATGGCAATACAGGGCAACAAGGGACCCCGCAGGAAGGATGAATCCTGTGGGTGCCCTGAATCCATGCTGAGGAGCAGAATATGGGGAGATGCAGGGCAGTTCCTCATCTCTTCCCCCTCATCCTTGCTCTCCCCCTGACCTGTGCTGCCTGATGAAACCTAACAGAAGGGGATGTCACAAATGCCACACCATCAGAGGACACTGGGCACCTCAGAGAGCTGAGCACAGACAATCAAGGTTTCTGCTCCCTTCCTCAGGATCTCTGAGAATGAGGGAAGCAGAGCTAAGGAGGACTAGGGAGGCTGCTCTTGAGGAGAGGCAAGTAGTGCCAGAAGCACAGCCCTGCCCCGTCCTGGGCAGCCCTCAATGGCACACTGCCTGACACGGGTGATGCCGGGCTGCCACTGGCCTCTCTGCTGTGAAGGCATAAGCTGCCAGCCTCTGTGTGCAGGTAGCCCTGGCCAACACCCGCCTCCCAGAACCATTTTATTTCTAGACTGTTTAAGACAGTGGGGAGTGACGTAGCCAGGCATCCAGCGTTTATTGTCAACCCAAAATAGGTTGTGGAATATATCTCGTGCACGTTCGCCCACTCAATGAAACGACTGTGGTCATAGCTGGAATTAGCTGCCCATGCCTAATGGAAAAAAAAGTCAGCTCCTAAATTGGCAGTTCTGCCGTGTGCCAGGGTGGGCTCAATCGGGAAGGCCACTTGAATGGAGATGACCGCTGTACATCCAAAGCAGCTGACGAGGAGCCACTGGGCTTGGGGATGTGCCCAACTAAGGTACATGTGCAGTAGGGAATTCAGCAGGTGGATATTCTGACCATAGTTATCCCAGTGTAACTCCCTTCACGATCCTTACTCTGGGGAATTTTAATCTGCATCATTATGCTTATTAACTTTTGCAGGCGGGTGAGCCTGGAGGCTTTACACAGGGAGCAGCAGGCTGCCCCTGGCCCTCGCCTCCCCTCGTACTGGCACTGGCAGGGGCAGCTTTGCACTGTCCTGCCGCTTCCAGAGCAAGGGATGGAGCAGGCACAGGACATGTAAAATCCAGGAGAAGCCATGGTAGCTGGTTTCTGAGCAGGTGTGATGTTTCTTCTTCAGAGCCTGATAAAGAATGCAGTAGGCCTGGGGTTTGTTCAGTCCCTGGGAATGGTCAGAGGCACCTCCGTGGGACAGGAGCAGCCCACTGCAGAGCCTTGCACCAAGGCACAGATGACCAGGCTTCTTCAATTAAAGCAGGGCAAAGACAGTATTTCTCGTCCTTCTTACTGCCTGAACCTGGAAAGTTCAGCCCAAGGTTAACCTGCAGTATGGAAAGTTTCAACCTAAGCAATTTAAAAATCTTACCAAAAAAAAAAAAAAGCCTACTTATAACTAGGTGTAGCCTTCTGTGCCTAGGAGGAGATGTCTGATGTTGCAGGGAGAGCTCTCCTGCTCTGGGGACCTGGTTTAGGTGAATACAGTAAAACCTTGGTTGGGCAGTGACCCAGCTTGCTTGACTCCTGCCTGCCATGGGCTGTGCCCTCTGTCAGTGGTGGCTTCCTGCAGCCGGGGCCAAGCCAGGCAACCCCATCACCGGGGTGGTGCTCTCGACCTCCCGATGGCTGTCATTGCCGTGTGCACCCCTATGCCTTGCCCTGCTTTCCAGGACGGCCGTGCTGCCACGGCACTGTGCTGGCTCACAGTACAAGAGTAAGTTCAGCATGTCCCTGGGAGCACCACAGCCCACTCATGCCAGCCACTGGCCACACGGATCCACCCACAGGGACGGGTCGGGGTCTCTCTTGCATCTTGAGCCTTGCACTTACCACTGTGGTCCTGGCCTTTGCAGCTGTGCTCGTGTTGAGGGGTCCCGGAGTCCGAGAGAGACAAGGTTGGGCTGCGAGCCTCTGCATCTGCCAGCAGGTTGAAATCCATGGGGCAAGGATGGGTGGCGGAGGAGGAGGAATCTGAAAAAGCAGCATGCACAAGGTGATTAGGGAGATGAATCTGTGTGTGTGACCTCTCCCTACCCTCTCTGGGAGGGACTTGCCAACCCTTGAGGAAAGGTCTAGGAAAAGCAAAGGATCCCTGTGTGATACTTGGACTCCCTTGAGTTTCCTGGCTGGAAATGGACATGCCAGGCTTTCTGCTGAGCTTCCCTATAAATCAAAGATCATCTAGTGACACTTCTATTTGCAGCCTTCAGAGAAAGAGCCCCCAGTTTATAGGTGACATTCAGACTGAAATAGCAACGCCAGGAGCATGCTGTGTAACGGAGATCTGAGGAAGTGGTTCTGGGCCAGCCAAGGGCTGTTAGCACCTTCCCCAGACATCCCGCCTCGCCCATCCTCCCTGCCCAGCTTCCCTCCTTTCTCCCTTGCTTCTCCACAAACTAGTCAAGCCCAGGTAAAGCTGCCTAGAGAGTACCAACACAGATGTACACACACACATCCCAAAAGAAAAGCACTCCTGTGCGTGGCACTGATAGGAAGGCGTGTCGGCCAGCACAGCTGCTGCTGCGAGCAGGGACCCAGGCAGTGCAAGTGGACTCCTCTGGGGTACGTAAAGGACCTCTGGAGCCTGAATTAACACAGGAGTCGCATTACACACCCTTGGGTGCCTGAGAATGAGTTATCCTGGCTGCAGCAGCAGCTCGCTTCCAGCCTTAGGTCATCTTGGCTGAAGGCTCCCTGTGTCTCCTCAAGTGACCGGCCTGTGCCCGTGAACCACCTCCCCTGACTGAAAGCATCCCAGCTGGGAAGCTGGCAGTGCTGCTCCCCGCAACTGCAGGCAACACTGGGACTCTTCTTCCACGTCTTTCCACACCTTTTTTACTCTCTTCCGCGGGGTGCCTGCACCCTCCACCTGTATTGCCCAGAAGAGCGCAGCTAAGAGCAGCACTTTGTTCTGGACCACGCTGGACACTCATGAAGGGGCAGGCATGATGCAGCAAGTGCTACAAGCCCAGCCACTTCACCTTGGAAAGGTGAGCTGGCCCTGTGTTGGCCCTTAATCTGAGTTTCAAATCATAACCCTGCTGAATGCAGGACAATGCATTGCCACCAATGCAGGCGTATGGGTTTCTGAGGGCTGGAGCGCTCCTAGGGGACCAGAGCAGCTCCTGAAACTCCAGTCACCCCAGCTAATACCTCACCTTCCCAGCTAGGAACCTCTCGAAGACATTCCAGCAGCTGATGCACCGTACCGGGATCTGGGACCCCCAGGCTTAGGGCGGTTTGGAGAAGAAGGCGTTTGGGACTTCCAAACTGCCGGTGGAGGTCAGTTGTGAAGACTGGATTCTAGCTGGTGAGGGATTGCCCAACCCCTCAAATCCACGCATGTCAGGGAGGGAGCCTGCTGAAGGCAGTATTTCGTCTGGACTGCACTAGCATTTAGACATGTAAACAAGAGATTAATCACGTAGCTGTTGCACCTCCTTTGGAGGTGGATGACAGTGACTAAGAATGTATTTTCAGAGCTGTCTAAAAGCTTCTGTCAATTTGAGCAGGGCTGTCACCAGGGCCCTTGGCAAGGCTGACCCCCATACCTGCATCGTGCTGCCTAGGCCATGGTGAGAGGGCAGTAAGTCATTTCTGATGGTTACCTGCCTAGTTTCTGCAGTAGATCTTGCTCACAGAACCCTCAGCAGTTTCTCTTGCTCTCCCCTTCGCTTGACCTCCATCCCCAGCCCTTCCTGGGCGCTGACGAATCTGTCTCGACACTGGCCTCAATCAGTGCTCTCTGAAAGCAGCATCTAATGAAGGGACCTGATGCTGGTTTCCCGGATCTTTGCCTTGCTCCAGGCTTCTCCTCTCCTGTGAGAGAGAAGTGGCAGGGGCTCCATCTTTGCCGCGAGGCTGGTTTCCATTTCTGCCTCACGGCGAGCCTGACCTTTGATGTCCGCCGGCTGTGTAAGCTCCTGGCAGCAGCAGGACACAGCCCTGTTGCTTTCTGCCATGTGTACGTACACGAAGTGATGTGACGGGGGCTGTGTTTTCTTTAATACCTTTGCATGGAGTAGGGGGAGTCCATCTGCTGCTGATATTGCCATGGCTTTTAGCATTACTCTCAGAATTATGCAGAAACGCGCAGTGAATTAATTCCATGGATTAAGTCTTGATTAAGATGTGTGTCACTTTGCTGTCTCAGAATTTATTAAGAGCCCTTCTTGAGGCGGCGGCAGATGGAATTTCTGCCCAATGTTTGTAGATGATAATTTCCCCTCTTCTACAGCCATTTGCATATGATTGCATCTGTCAAGCACAATTTCCTCTCTTCTAGGGCTTGACTCTGTACTGGACCAGATTTAAGGAGGAATTCAGACTCCTGCCTTGCTGTGACTGAAGGACAGTGTCCTCCTGCACAGCATCCTATTTGCTTTGAGACCCTTTTTGCACCTCTTGCGTTGCTTTCAGCTGTGCAAACTAGAGCGAAGATGGGAAAACCAGGGAGGAGTATTTTACAGCTGGTTCCCTAGGTGTGAATGACAGCACAAGGCCTACGGGAACGGAGTCCCGATATTGAAAATTCATGCCTCACCCTGAACCGCACCAGTGCAGGGGTTCTGAGGTTGATTCAAGCTGCCAGGCACAACGTAGTGTGCTTGGCCTGCCTCAGGAATGCAGTGGACACCTAGGTTAAAACCGGTTGTAAAGCGTGGCCCATATTCAAGTGGAAACTAGGACTTGCAGTTCAGAACAAGTTTGCTTTTTGAACTGCATTTAAAGTCAGGAGGATTTCAGAGAGGAGATTTTGTACGTGTGTATGTAATTACCTACTGCATGTGCCCTGCATGGTGCCATCAAGGAAGGCTTTCTCAGTTTGCTGTGAGCAGGTCGTGGAGAAGCAACAGCAAAGGGAGAGCGGGATCTCCTCAGCATGGTTATGAAGAACCACAGGAAAAGTCTGCGATGGCGATAGCATGCGAGCTCTGCACCAATGTATTTGCCCAAAAGCAACGCCATGCCACTGACACAAAAGGTGTAGGTATTATTGTAGATTATACAGCCCTTTTGGATTTAATTTAAAGGAGCTTTTTTCCACATTAGCTAGATCTCGCTGTAAGCAGAGACATTAAGAAAGTCAACGCTAAACCTTCATGGTATTTCTACAAAATTGTTTCCCTGGTCTCAGGGAGTTACTGAAATTGGCACCTAAAAACCATCTTTAGACAAAATCAAATTTATCATCTTCATCTGAGTCTTTATCTCACTTTCTTTTAACATAAAGAATGGTTTCTTTAGGGACAGCTCCTGTACTAACAACATGCAGCCAGGCTTGCTCTGAGGTTTCAGTTTTGTAAAACTAGCCCTGGCTCCTTGCCTGCTCTGGCACCTGTAACTCCTTCCACCCATGTACGTAATTGCTCTCAAGATAAAGGTTCTCAAATCTGTAATGAACACACCTTTTCTTCCAGTTCCTACCCGTTTGCATCCTTCCCCTGGCTTCCATGCGATGATGCCAGTGGCTGCCTGCAGCGGGCCCTCCAGACAGACAGGGAGCTGCTGTCCCTGCCCCACTGGCATGGTGCAAGGCAGGGGGAAGAGAGTGGCTCTGGCTTTAGCCTTTTCTTCCTTTCAAATTCACCCCCCTTCTATTTCAGTGCCAGGCTGCCCAAGCCAGAGCCATTGGGGCGGGAGAAGGAAGGCACTTCTGCATGAGGAGGGCGACCTTGTTTATCCAAAAAGAGCAAGTGAGGGTCCCTGTGACCTCTCTCTTCATTCTCAGTAACATGCTGCTCCATCACCCGGGAGCAAAGATGCCTTTGCTTGTTTTTTTTGGAGGGGTGGGAAGGAAACATAAAGGCTGAGTGCGAGCCAAGTAAGGCTAATTATAGTGGTGGCTTTTGTGATGTGGATGTTGCACGCTGAGAGCTGCCTTCAGATTGACAAGTGCGTGCTGCTCAACTCCCCGTGCTACCATTGGGGAGC